TTTTTTTTTTGAAAGCTATTTGTTTCTCGACAAGTCTTTTTCACGACAACGATCGACGCAAGCCGGAAATTAAATATGCAGCTATTGATACGCGGCTATGGGTATGGAACCTATAAGCCTACAAGAATGTTGAAAAAACTGTGATCTAAAATAGCGCCATGTTGCAGTGGGCTTTTTGCAATGTTCAGGATTTCATACCATCCGAAAGTTCCTTGCCTTTGCTGAGCCACTGAACGATAGCCTCTTGATAGCCTGTACCTTGACTCTTGATAAAAAATCGACCGATATATTAATGCTACTTGAAAAATCGCTATACTGCGCGCCCGAACTGAAACTAGAAGAAAAAGCTGCAGTACAAGTCGAGCTCCAACGGAACTTGCGACTAAATAAGGGTTTCTAGAGAAGAGAGCAACAGCTGAACTCTCGAAAGCTTGGAAGGATTTAGGAGATGCAGCCCCAGGTTTGAGTTGAAGTCGATGCCGCAGAATTCGCATTATTTCATTGCACCCTTCATTGTACTAACCTTAACAAACTCGAAATTCAGCAATTTTGCTAAAAACGAAGTCACTGAGTGTGCAGAAGCCAATTTTTTCAATTAATAATGCGCATAGCTCACAGCCCACTTTGTTGCTATAATTAACTAATTGGGCTATTAATAGCATCACATCAATCGGGACCAAAACGTCGCGTAAAAGAAACGGAACCCGACTAGACAGCGCTTCTCATGCAAAGAACCGTTATTTTGGGATAAAATTCGTCCCGACCTAAACATCATAAAATCGACCTGCTGGTTAGCATAATAAAAGAATTTACCTCGGATGCATTTTATGTGTTTGGAAGTTGAGCACAGAATCGACAACTAAGCTTGTAGCCATATCATCAAAGCTGCACAGTTCCTGAGGAGTGAGGGAATGGTCTCCGGATGGGAGTTCTCGGAAAGACAGTAAAGCTGCATTGGGGAAGTCGTCTTCTTCAGCGTTCCGTTGTAGATTAGCTGGTTTCATCTGAAAATAGACGAAATAGATGGCTGCAAAACTTACGGATCCAGAAGCGATACGTTTCAAGATCAGTGGCGTGAAGACACCGGTCACGAGCTAGCATAACACGACTGAATAATGCAGAAAAAGCAGCCAGACGAAGCCAACCACCGCAAAAGAAGCCGTGAAATAAGGAGCATTCGAAGTGCACGGATAAAACACCCTATCGTACGTTTGATGTCGTTTCGCAAGCGCGCAATCTAAACATGATTTAATAAAGTTTAATTTTTAATCTTCCTTCTTGTTAGACTTCCAATTGGTTGGGATTTGAAACCAGTAATTCGATCAGTGTTTATTTTTTTTTGAAATGGATTTATTTTATTTGTTTTAATGCTATTCCACTCCATTCTTATGGAGCATGGCATCTTTTGAAAAAACTGGCTAGAATTCATAAATTTTACGACAAGTTGTGGCTCATTCGTCGACCCCCTCCTATATTAG